AAAAAAAAAAAAAAAAAAAGGAAGGGCGCTTGGTTATAGTTGTGAAACCCATGCTGACTTCTCAGTTGAAGTCATAGACCTAGGGTTACTATTGAACTGAAATGTCTCTTCTCATCTGGAATTGCTTGGGCAGTGGGCTCTGGAATCTCCATCCTTGTGTGTCAGCTCCATGATTCAAGTGGGAAAACAGGTCTTGGCCTTCTAGTTAAATGTTCTAGGTGGAATACAAGCTGGTAGTAGAACTTTTCTGGTCTGTCTCTGAGGGCCTCAGATGGGGTCAGGCCTTCCCATCACATGCATAGGGGCATTAACAAGTACACTCAGGCACATGCTGGTGTGCTGAAGCTCACTGATTAGATGTCACCCCTCCAAACCATGTTAGCTATTGGGCATTGTGTACACATGTCTAATGACACGTACATGTTGTTGTTGTTGTTGTGTGCCATGGAGTCGTTTCCGACCCATAGCGACCCGGTACAGGGTTTCCGAGGCTGTAAATCTTTACGGGAGCAGAAGCCTCATCTTTCTCCCGCAGAACAGGTGGTAGTTTCGAACTGCTGGCCGTGCAGTTCGCAGCCCAATTCGTAACCATTATGCTATCATGGAGCTCTGGTAGCGTAGTGGTTACGAATCGGGCTGCGAACCTCAAGGCCAGCAGTTCGAAACTACCACCTGTTCCGCTGGAGAAATATGAGGCTTTCTGCTCCCGTAAAGATTTACAGCCTCGGAAATCCTGTTCAGGGTCTCTATGGGTCGGAACCGAGTCGACGGCACTTAACAACAACAACAGTGCTACCAGAGCTCGTTAATGACATGTACATAGCAGTGTGTAAAGCCATGTGCAATGAGCCTCATTCTTGGGGAGGAGGTCGACTGTTTCCAGAGGAGCTACTTACTCATGCACCAAAGGACTTTCCTGCTGACACCCCTATGACTGGAGGTGTTCTGCCTTCTAGGCAAGTAGCTGGGAATAAGGTGGATCTTAACAGTGCTGGGAAAGGTCAAGATTGTAGAAGATGGCTTGGGTCTCTCCTGGCGACTCAAGTAGAAGATGCTGCATCACTAACTCCCTTCAGGGATGGTATCAGTTGGAGTTCCCAATCCTGTCCTGGTACACCTTCCGTGAAGTTCTGACTGATGTGGCATCAAAGGGTGTCTCTGCACCCCAGACTCCCCCACAGGCTTGGATGGGTTTGGAACAGTCCCCATGGCCACCACCTCCAGGCAGCCCTCCATGGTGCCCCACCACCAGACTTTGCAAGGAGTGTGAATGAAAACGGGGGTCTTCAGGGTCAAAGGTCACCAGGGCGGCCCGGGTCCCGGAAGCGGAAGTGCCTTGCACTTCCGGCGCGCAGCGGGCGGCCATGTTGGAGCGGCGGAGGCGGCGCAGAGGCGCGTCTTGGGTCCCCGCGGCGGCGCCGGTAGGTTGGGGCCGCGGGCCTAGCCGTGCCGCGGAGTGGCAGTCTGCGGGGGCGGCAGGGCGGACGAGCTGGTGATCCTTCCCAGACCCCAGCCTTTAGCCAGTCCGGCCTAGACACCCCACCCCCACCCTGTGCCCAGCGGCCCCACCCTGGCGCCGCGCGGCCCCCGCTGGGCTGGCGGTATAGCTCAGTGCACCCCGCAGCCGCTGGAACCCCCACTGCCAAGCGCAGCTCCCACCCCAGGGACGCGGATCCCCACTCCGAGGGCCCCGCTTGAATGGGACATCACCTGCCCCCCCACCCCCAAATCTGTTAACCCTTGGCGGTCCCGGGGGCACGTGTAAAGGGAAGTCGGGAACCCGGCTGCTGTTGCTTCCCAGGGTTGGAAGGCCCAGAAGACCCCTCCGGAGGGCCCAGACTGACCTGGGCAGAAGAACCCTAGTTTACCCCTAATATCTGTACGAAGTGTGGGTGGGGGGACGTGGAGCAGGCCTCTCTGTACAATTCACAGACAGCCCTGGGTACTACTCACCCCTCTTCCCCAAAAAAATTCAAATAAAGAAACTAAAATCACGTGTAAGGATTGTGCTTTGAGATCAGCCTCTGGAAAGGGGAAGTGCCTGAGACACCTGAGGATCCAAGAATGTTTCTAAACAAAGAGCCCCAGGGCACTCTCTCCTGGGGATTCTGAAGACTTCCTTTGCCCCATTAAAGATGTGGGAAGATGATATGCTGATGCACATCCTAGCCCCTGGGCCTTGCTGGTCCCAGCTGATCTTTAAATGCTCCAGATATGGCTGGAGAGCTGCCTCTTGCAGCTGGGAGCCCTCCAGTGCTGGGTAAGGCCTTAGTAGAAGTGTGGGATAAATTGGGTGTTCCCAGAGAGCTCCATTTGGACTATACCGAGGTGTAAACCCTTCCAAACCCTGGTAAGGACATCTTAGACCTCTGGTATCCGCTTGACTCATCATCCTACTTGGAGCAGTTGACTCCTATTGTCCTCAGACCCTAGGTCCCTGAATTGACCCACATGCTACCTCATCTATTGTCAGTGGCACCTGCTGCTCCTCAGTTTATTTTCTGTTGGAAAGCCTGGCTCCCTGAGCTTAGTCTTTGTGACTTGAGTGCTAGGAATTGAGCTGCTGGTAAGAAGATGATTTCCATGGCAGGCAATAGAACCAGCAGCTAGAGGAACAGCAATAGACATGGTTGGCCAGCATTCAAGGCTGTTTGTTGCCTTAGTCTTATCTACCTGTTTTTCCAGCTAGATCCCTAGCCCTGATCCTAGTTTCCAACCACACTAGAGTGTCTTATTCTCATATTGGAGACTTTGCATAAATTAAGTCCCCTTTGGTCCCATTTCCATCCAGTCTTCTCCCACTCATCACTCATGTTCCACTTAGGTGTTCCCTCCTTCTTCTAGAGGAGTCCTTTCCTGATCTACTGGCAAGCTGTGTTGGGTGCCACCATTCATTACTAAGAACCTATTATGATCCTGTTATGACATCTGATCTGGGCTTCCTAAAGACAGGAAACTTCACCTGTCTTCCCAGGGCTGAGTGCAATACAAGGTTTCTGACCTTAGAAAATACAGAATTGAGTTCAGATAGGGCAGGTTAAAATCTTTCCAGGGACCCAGATAGGCTGGATAGCTCTGAAGAGTTGATAGCTTTGTGTCCTGAAGTGGCTGCCTGCAACCCAGGAAGTGGCTTACTGACTAGGCCATTAAATTAGCCCTTAAAGAATGTGGACCCTGACTGACATGTGTAGTTATCCTGGCTTTCTATTTCAATGCTATTCTCACTGACTTTTCCTCTTGCCTTGGAGGTGCTGAGCGCTGGTTTGCGGACACCCAGGCAGATCTGCAGTGCCTAATGCCATGAGCGTGGTGGTGCAGCATGTGGAGGAGAAAGCCGTGCACTCTTGGTCACGCATCTCCACGGCAGGGAAAAAGGCCCTGGAGGAGGCGCTGCTTGTCTTCAACCCCATGAGTCAGGATCTCAGTGCTACGGAGGCCCAGCTTGTAGCCTTCCTACAGGGTTTACGGGATGACGGCTTTCAACCTACGGTCCTGCGCAGTGGTGATGTCTATGGCTACAGTTCATGCACAGCCAACCCCCCAAGCCAGACAAAACTGCAGGCTCGGCCCCCCACCCCAGCTGCATCATCACCTCCAGCAAGTGCTCCCCGAACTACCATGCGGCTGCCCGCAGGCCGGGCCACACTACTCCCCATGCCACTTTCTGGCAGGCTGGCCAAAGCGTCCTCACCAACCCTTGCCAAGCATGCTACTACCAACCTACTGCTGAGTTCCCTGAAGCAGTCAAATGCCAGCCGGGCCCGGGGTGCAGCAATGGGCTTTCCTGCTCACCTCTATCCAGGCGTTTACCCTGCCATGCGGCTTTCTGTTGTCCTTGAAACCCTGGTTCCATTCAAGACCCCCATGCCCTGCTTGGGTGCCAAGCACAAGGCACAGGCTTTGCAATTTTCACTTGCAGACTCTCCCTTGAAGCTACGGAAGGGTACAGGAAAGGGTCCAGGGAACTCATTGCCCAAGGCTTCTAGAAAAATGACAAGCAAGGGCCCCAAGTGTTTGACTCTCAAAGGCTCCAAGGCTGGGCCCCGACGAGGCACTGGGCCCCAGAGTAAAACCTGCAAAGCCACTGGGTCCCTCAGTGGCCTGAGGGTGAAAGGGGGCTCTGTCATGGGAACCATAACAGCCCAAACCAAGACATCTCGAACACTGGCCAAAGCTGCTCGTGCCCAGGACAAGGTGGCTCGTATACTGCCTAAGACTGCTGCAGCCAAGGTGGTTCAGAAGCAGAGCAAGGCAGCCCAGGCTAAGGTGTCCAAGGCCCAGGCCAAAGCCAAGGTGGCTCAGGCCAGAGCCAAGGCAAAGGCAGCACAAATCAAGGCTAAGGCTAAGGCAGCACGAATCAAGACCAAAGCAGTGCGGGCCAAAGCCAAGGCAGCGCGGGCCAAAGCCAAGGCAGCACGAATCAAGGCCAAGACATCACGTATCAAGGCCAAGGTGGTGCGGGCCAAGGCCAAGGTGGTGCAGGTCAAAGCCAAGACAGTGATGATCAAAAGCAAGACCAAGGTGACACAGACCCAGCCTGGGAGCAGAGGCAAGCCCAAGGGGTCTGTTCAGCCCCAGGCTACAAGAGGGAGTCAGAAAAGACACCCTGGGACTGTGGGGCAGAAGAGAAAAAGGGTTGAGGAGGCAAAAGAGCATCTACCCCTGAAGAGAACACGACTTGGGTCCCAATCCCCTAAAGCACAGCTAGGACCTGGTACTGCAAAGCTGCTGAAATTCCGAGCCATCAAGGTTGACCGATGTTCCTCGGATGATGAGGTGCTGCAGCGGGCTCAGCGGATCCTCCGTGTGAACCTGTCTCCAGTGATACAGCTCCAGCCACTGCTGCCATACTCAGCACCCTGAGTCCTTCACACAGCATTGTTTGGGGAGACTAAGTGTGCAATGCCTGTGGACTCCACAACCCTAAGTTGGACTCGGGTGCCTCTTCAGGGCCCTGGTGGCCCACAGCATCCTTTCAGAGACTGGAGGATGTGGGGAGGGGCGGGCGGGAGGGGTGTTCTTAGGCGCAATGCACTGTGACTTGTTCCTCTTCAAGTTGTATGTCAACTGTTCCATCGATCACGTTTTATACCTTTCCACTGCTCAGTCTCTCTGCCCACCCTTCATGGTCTTTTTTGTATGCATGGCTTGAGCAGATGGTGAAAATGGCTCCCAGAACAGGGCTGTCAGGATCCTGTTAGCTTGCAACAGGTCATTGATGTGAGTGATGGGATGGTATGTAAGGGGGCAGCTCCCATGCCCTTCTGGAGAGGTGGAGACAGTTTGGGTGCAACACTTGGCACCTCTCTGGTCTCTCTGGGGTACATATGAGACATCCACTAAGAGCTGAGGTAGAGTCATTACCTCCCCTTGAGTTTCCCTTATTTGGAATCTAGAGAGGTCCCTGCCAGGAGGCAGTAAACAGCTCTGTAGGCATCCTTTTGGCCAGCAGGTTTCTAGGCCAGGAAAGGGAGGCTTTATGACATTATTCCCCAGGGGCCCAGCAGACAGTCTGGCCTTGTTCTGCCACCTCTGGCTGCAACTTTGAGACTTTGCCCAGACTTGTCTAGGGTGTAGCCAGGCCTAAACAACCAGAGGTGCCTCTACCTCTTTCCTTCTGATTTCACTATAGAGTAACTAGCCACTCTCAACTTTCTCATCTGGTGGCCGGGGACTAAGGGTTGAGTCTGGGGCTAGGATCTTGGAGCCACAGAGGCTGCCCCCACTGACCAAGGAAGGTTTCTGTGACCCATCTCCCTCCCTAGATAATGCTTCCTGCTTGGAATTTATGTGCTTTGTCTACTACCAGATCCTGCCAGCCAGCTTAAGCATGCCCCTCCAACAGTTCCCAGGAGGGGCTTGCTTGTTGTGTACTGGAACACCACTTCCTGCTTTGTGAAGGGGGCAGGGCTCTGGGCCTTGAATGGAATTACCTACCCCGCCCACCTGCCAGTCTTGCCCTGGCTGAATGGTGGCCACTAGGACAAGTGAGGAGGACATTCCCCAGAGGCTCCTGGACACAAGCAGCCTTTCAGAGCTAGTGGGTGGGAGCGTCATTTGAATGAGAATCAGATCCTTTATGTCTCTGGGTTTGTCTGAACCTGGGCCCCACTAGCGTCAGCTGCCCTGCACTGAGGACCTGTGAAGAGTTTTATGGTGCCCTCCCTTCTCCTTCTGGTGACTGCTATTTACATCCTTGCCTGGGCACATACCCTACCCTTTTTTCCAGGCTCTGGGGACTCCCTTGTTCCCAGCTGTACTGTGGCCCTACTATGCTATGTGCTTTTTGCTCTGGCAGCTCTGCTTCTACCCACAATGTGAGTATTGGGGACAACCTGGGGACTGCACTCAGCCAGCAGGGTCAGCCCGGTTTGGAGCCCACTCTACATCCTTCATCTCAGGTCTGATTCCAGCACTCAGTGCCCAAGACCCCTAGCCAGTCTGGGTTCCATCCTTCCAGTTCTACTGTCACACATGGGTGAGGGGTCACCTCTTTCCAAGAGAGCTAACCAGAAGGGGGAAGAGAAGTTTCGAGACCTCTTTTGGGTGGTGGTGGTGGGTATCCCTAGGACATATACTCAGGACCTGCCTTCCCAGTCCAGACTCCTAGAACCATTGCCCAGGAGCTAGCAGACATCCTTTGCCCGCCTGGCTGTTCAAGCGGCAGCTGCTATCGCCCACTGGCAACCTGGTCCTTGGCTGTGGCCGAAGCCTTCGTGCCTCATCTACCTGTGGTCTCTGTGGCCCCAAGCTGTACTGTGTAGTCAGCCATCTGCAGGTGGGGAGAAAGATTGGGGCTCTCAAAACTGTCTTTGGGGTGTGGGGATGGTAGTTTTTCATTATTCAGGACTGGTTCAGCCCCGTGAAGGTCCAGGTCACTTTTGGAGGCTGAAGGGAGAGGTCTGCCCTGTGAGATTTTGCAGTGGGGGTTTGACCTTGCACCTCCTACCCTGAGAGTCTACTTGGGCCCTTCCCCAGGACTCTGAGAATTGCATCTTCGGTGACTCTTGGGCCCAGCAAGGCCACAGCATTGAGAACATGATCTCCCAGACTGGCCATGGCGGAGAGAAGACCTGGTGGCAGGCAGAGAGTGGTGAGGGTGCTATTGGGCCCCTAAGTGAGGGTCTGGGGTCAGGTCTCAGTCCCTCTGCAGGTATTGAGAAGGTCACCATCCAGCTGGACCTAGAGGGTGCCTTCAGCTTAACTTGCCTCATCATGACTTTCAAGGTGACCCAGTGCCCCTTGCTAAGCAAGCTCTGACCCTGTGGCCCCCTCACTTTTTGGCCACCAGTAACTCTTGACCCTAGGGTCTGAAGGGATCCCTGTTGTCCTCTGACATTCCGCCCAGCAGCAATGCTCCTTGAGCGCTCAGTGGACCATGGCTGCTCTTGACACATGTATCAATACTTTGCCCATAACTGCTTAGGCCTCTTCCCTGAGATCCCTTCTACCCCTGGACACAGGGTCAGTGACCTCCTCTGAGCAGTGCTACTCGGACATTGAGCCACTGAGGGCGAGGTTAGGTCCAGCAGGAGGAGTGGGACCTTGGGATGAAGCCAAAATTTTAGGCCTGCTTTTTCCTCTCAGGTCATTTTCAAAGTTTTGGACCCAGCCATTTGAGTGGAGGACCCAGTCCCCAAAATTCAGGGTAATCAGCTCTGGTAGCGTAGTGTTTACGAATCGGGCTGCGAACCATAAGGTCAGCAGTTCGAAACTACCAGCCGCTCCGCGGGAGAAAGATGAGGCTTTCTACTCCCGTAAAGATTTACACCCTCGGAAACCCTGTACAGGGTCACTATGGGTCGGAACCGACTCAACGGCACTTAACAACAACATCCCCCATAAATAGGGATTCAGGATAATCATAACTCTTGCATGTCAGATTAGAGCCAGATACTCACTGAGAGGAAGTAAGACCCTGCTTGGGTACATGCACTGGTAGGGCAGAGTGGGTGGACTAGCCAGCTTGATTGCTTCATCTCCAGCACTGCCCCATAAGGGCCCTCCATCCTTGTCCCATTCTTGTTTCCCAATACTGCTACAGCAGTGTAAAGGGACTGGTGTGGGGAGAATCCTTATCTCCATCACTGATCCATCGCCAAGCTCTTTCATAGGACCGCGTTACTGTTCCACATGCCAGCCCCCATTACATCACTGTCTCTCTTAACCCATCCCTCTGTGGCCCTTGATCTCCTAGCTGCCTCTGAACTTCCACTTTCATAGTCTTGTTCACACCCCTCTTAATTCACATCACTGGGTTCTTGATGCCCTTCATCCCTGCAGCTGCCTCTAGGTGGCACCAAGACATCTATGGATGTGACCCCCTTCCCTGAAAAGCAGAAGTCTTTGTTATTAAAGACCCTGTTAAAGGACTACACAAGTCACATAACCTAGGAGGGTACTAGGCAGAGCAGGACAAACCAAACTAGTTTTTTCTCTGTTTGCTGGATGTTTTCCTTGCACCTTGATGGTGGGCATAACTTACCCTAAGCCACCACAGCTCTCCAAGCAGGTGAAGGTAGTCTCAGCTTGATAATTAACAATTTGTAGAGCAAAAAGAGTCCAGGTCCTATCCATCCATGTGTTCATTTAACAAGTGCCCATTGGAGCCTAACCCTGTGCCAGGTGTCATCTGGGCAATGCTCCATGGGAAGCAAACAAGTCATCTGTCTTTTGGGAAGTGACAAGAAAGACAGTTGCTGCAGAAGCAAGCAAACATATTTCATGCTATACAGCTAGATAAGGGGTGGTAAACCTTTTTTTTCTGCAAAACTATGACATAATTTGCAGGTCATACAAAATTACGAACTTAAAAATCAGTCTGCTCTGTTTGGTCATACATTGAATTAACTCATCACAAATGCAATGGCTGGAGTTCTGGTGTGGCGCTGTGGGTTAATGCGCCAGACTGCAACGCCATTTGAACTGCAAGGTCGGCAGTTCAAGCTCACCAGCCGCTCCTCAGAAACCCTATACAGGGTCGCTATGGGTCAGAACCAACTCGATGGCACTTCACAATAACAATGCGATGGCAGGAACTGCGGTTGCCTTGGCAGGGCCAGACCAAATGATCCCATGGGCTGGATGTTCCCCACCCCTGAGCTAGATGATAAGCATATTTCTAGTTTGGATGAAGATAGCGGAGTAGAAACCTTTGCTGTTTTGGGGAGGCAGATTTGAGGTACCTGTCATGAGATGCTCCTTCCATGGCTGTCACCATGCCTTCCACATTGGCTGGGGTCCCTGGTGCCGACCTGCACTCAGAAGCACAGCCACGGCATAAGCAGCTGCCCCAGGCCACTATTTCATAAATGGCATAGAAGTAGAAAGGGTTTTTTCTTGAGGCCCCCTAGGGACCTATCACCCAGTGTATGCAATTTGGAGAAGTTCATACGGAGATTGGTCACAGTAGGAGCTCTGGAAACACATAGTCGGGCCTCAGGTGATTTTGTCCTCACCCCTCCATGGATGTGACTGGTGAGATGGGCAAACTGGAGAATTGGGACTGATGTGTCCCACCCTCCTACCAGCTAGGTGCATGGTCTCTGTGTCTATCACCACCACACAGCTAGTGCCAACTGTGAGCACTGCCAAGACCTGCACCAGGACCACCCATGGTGTGCAGCAGAGCCTGGGCACCCCCAGGCCTGCCAAGGTAAGTGCCATGCTGCCCTGCTTTGCCTGGCCATAATTGTCACTCATCAGCCCACCCCATATCTACCTCTTGTCTGCCCTAGAATACGAGTGCTGTGGGCATGCCCACCGCTGTCACTTTGACATGGCCATATATATGGCATCTGGCAATGTAAGTGGAGGTGTGTGTGATGCATGTCAGCACAATACAGCAGGCAGGTCGTCATTGT